GAAAAAGAAAAAGAAAAATATAATATGAGTAATAATAAAAAGTTTGAAGATGGTGAGTTTGACTCATCATCTTCAAAGATCAGTAATAATGATAATATAATATTAGATAACAATAGTAGTATTAATAATAGTAATAATAATGATGATAATATATTCAGCATTAATGATAATGATGAAGAATTTAATGAAAAAACATCATTAATTAATAACAAGTCAGAAACAAATAAAATAGAAGAAGAAGTAGAAATTGAAGGATTAGACGAAGAATATGAACAAGAGATGACATTACAAGACTTTTCAAAAATGATTGTTATGATTCTTGTAAATTAATTACCAATATTTTTAAAATATAAACCCTTATCAAATGTAACTGTATTAATATTTTTTTAATAAATAATCATAATTATAAATTATAAACTATAGATACCAGTATCAATTACTATGGCAGCAGTTGTATATTTTGTAAAACTTTTAAATTCTCAAACAGTTTATGCATCAACCATTTATATTGATTACAGTCAACTTAGTACTGGAGATAGCGGTGGATCAGAATTTGTACAATCATTAATAGCAGCTAGTATTGTATTGGGCATGATTATTATTACAACAGTTTGTTTTGTACTATTATATAAATATAGATGTTTAAAGATTCTATATGGATGGTTATTTTTATCAGTTGGTATGATGTTGGGTTCATTTGGTTCAACTTTTTTCCAGTCATTACTTATAGCAGGCAATATGGCATTAGATTATGTAACATTTGCATTTTTAATTTATAACTTTACAGTTTGTGGTATCGTCGCTGTATTTTGGTATTCCCATCAATATGTAAATCAACTATATCTTGTAATTATCAGTATTCTAATGGCAATCTCCTTAACAAGATTACCACAATGGACTATTTTCACTTTATTAGTAATCGTTGCCATCTATGATCTTTTCGCTGTACTTTGTCCTCGTGGTCCATTAAAAGTATTGGTAGAGTTATCTCAAGAAAGAAAAGAAAGTATTCCCGCTTTAGTTTACGAAACTGGTAAAGGTTCCGATAATAATTTAAAACTTGGTTTAGGTGATTTCATTTTTTATAGTTTATTAATTAGTAGGGCTGCATTAGTACATATGTCAACTGTTTTTACTGTTTTTATTTCAATTATAACTGTAAGTATTTTAAATTTATTTTAGCTCACGATTTAAATATTTTATACTAATTTTTTTTTATTTTAAAGGGTTTATTCCTAACTTTACTATGCTTAGCTATTTTCAATAGAGCTTTACCAGCTTTACCAATTTCAATTTTTTTAGGAATTTTAGTCTATTATCTTTCAACAACATTTTTATATCCATTTATTGAAGCTTTAACAATTGCTCAAGTCTTTGTTTAAAATTTAATAAATAAACAATATTAATATTTAAAAGTGAATAAATAAATAAACAAATAAAAGAAAATTTTAGAATTTATTATAATTTTTAATACTTTAATTATTTAATAAAAAAAATAAATAAAAAAATTACTTTTTATTCTTATATATAAGTATAAATTTCGAAATTTTTTCCTTGGTAAAAAAATATATATTATTGTTTTTAATGGTTTAATTCGTTTAAATTATCTTCTTGGTTATGATTTTCAGAATAAATACTACTACTGCTACTACTGCTACTATTTAACATTGAATCACCATCTGAACTCATTACTATACTATTATTTGAATTAATTCTTTGGTGTCTTGGTAAATTATTTGATTGTCTTTGCTGTTGTTGTTGTTGCTGTTGTTGTTGTTGTTGTTGAATTTTTAAATGTTTTCTGTATGCAATTTCACTTTTAATAATATTATCGTGATATTTTAATAAAAGTGAGTATTCGTGAGATCTTTGAATTGCTTTTTTTTCTGAAATATTACCAACAACTGGTAATTTATAAATTGGTTTTCCAACTATAATAAAATTAAAATATTAGTATAAATAATAAATAAATAAATAAATTAAAAATAATAACTTACCACTTGAATTAACCTTAAAAAACATAAATAAAATAAATAAAAGATATAATGACCAAAGTAATATTGTCATTATTGATGACCATGCAAAAACCAATTGGAAACCAATGATACCGATACTAATATAAAATGATTGAAATGCGTGAAATTGTACAAATACACTTGATTTTTCATTTATTAAAACAAAAACTGCTCCTAAAAATGTTAAATATGATAGTGAACCAATTCTTTTTATATATCTTTGATAACTAAATAAATGTAGGCATTAGAACCATAATGTTTTTTTTAAAAAAAAACAATTTAAATTTTAAATATATATTTACTCTGGTGATAAGTCATCTTCTAAATCAATAGTTTGAAAATCGCTTCTATTGCTGTTATCTAATAAATTTTTATTTAATGTTAAAATTTCAACTGTTGATTGATTTAAATCTGTAAAGCTTGATTCTTCTGTTGTATTACTAACACCACTTGTATTTAAACTATTAAATGAGAGTAATTCCTTTCTCATATTGTTTAAATAAGTATTTGATGAATTCTTTGAAGGACTTGATGGTATCATACCAATAGTATTGCTACTATTATTTGTTTCGTATGATAACATTTTTTACTAATAACCCAAAAAAATTTTATTTTTTTTTTTTTGATTGTTTTGATTGTTTTGATTTTTTTTTTTTTTTTTTGATTGTTTTGATTTTTTTTTTTTTTTTTCTAAATTAATATTTTGTTTTATTTTTTAATTTAAAATATACACAACCAAAGAATATATAATTTAATTAATCCTCTTTTTAAAACTTTATAATATATTGTTATAATAAAAATTAAAAAAAAAAAAAAATTAAAAAAAATAATAGAAAACGGTTTTGGAGAAAAAAAACAATAAAATATTTTTTAAAAAAAAATAAAATTTTAAAAAAATAAAATAGAAAAAAAGATATTATCTTTTATAGGGTCATATATTCGAAGGATGATGTATTTGAACAATTGTAATGTTTATACAACAACAATTTGAAAAAAAATAAAAAAAATAAAAAAAATAAAAAAATTCTTTTTATTTTGTTTAATATTATTTTATTATTTTATTATTTTATTATTTTATATAAAATAAAAATTAATATAAACAACAATAAAAATGAAATAAAATAGTACTATTTTTTTAAAACAAATATTTAAAAATTTTTTAATATTTAAAAATTAAAAAAATAAAACAATTAAAAAAAAAAATTAAAAAAAATAGTGTGATTAATACATATTTTTTATAATTTAATACCAGCTATTTTATAAATTAATTATTTTTTAATTATTATTTCTGATAAAATATTTTTTAAAATAATAGTATTAACTAATTAAATAATTTTTGAATGAGAAAAAAAAAATCAAATACAAATTTTTTTTTTTTAATAAAGTTGGTTATACAATTTTTTTTTTTATTTTATATTATTTTTTTTATATATATAATGTAATAATAACGAGTTAACAATTATTATTTTTTTGTTTGTTTTTTATAAATTAAAAATTATTAAATAGTTTAATCAGAGTTTTCAATGGCAGCAGCACCTATAAAAATTAAAAATTAAAAAAAAAAAAAAAGTGTTAATAAACAAGGATTACGAAAAAAATGATGATTTTAAATATATAATATTTACCAGAAGTAATTTCAATTAATTCAGAGGTAATCATAGCTTGACGAGCTCTGTTGTATTGGAGACCGAGGGCTTGTGAAATTGATTCACCATTCTTTGAGGCATTATCCATAGAAACCATACGAGCAGCCATTTCTGAAGCTCTGTTTTGGTAGAGACCAGTCCAGAAGGCGGTGGCTAAATAGAATTCTGAAAGATCTTTCATGGTGGCAGCACGATCTTCACTGGTGCTATATTCGTAGAATTTATCACGGTTGGCTTCGAGGAGATTGAAACCTGGAATAAAGGCATGATCGACATTGTATGAAAGAGCGTTTTTGAATTTATTGTAAACAACTGAAGCACTGTCAAAGTTTGGAACTTTTTTAACGATTTCATTTAAATAGAGTAAAACTTCTGGGAATGAGTAATCTTGTTTACCAAAATCACGACCACTAACTAAAAATTGGTCTGGATATTCAGTGCAGAAAACTGAAACACCCTTAAACGGTGGTGAAACATAGTGAACCTTAGCATCATCTTT